AGTCGAGATAACTGAAAAGAATTTGAAAGGTGTGTTTTACAACAATTTTTGTCTAAGCACAAACAAGACATTTTCACATGTTTGTTTACATTTGTAACATGACCTTTGTGGTTTGAAACGGATGTCAATGGTGCAAAACAGCAAAAGTACACTTGGTTAGAATTTGAAACCCACATTTTTGAGAATATATTAGATTGACGTCACGCAAGATTACAACCCACGTCTTTGGGTTGCCTATGATTAAAATACACAGCGCAATGTCATATTTTGATGCACTTTGTATCAATTTTAATTTAAAACATTTAATTCAAATTATACAAGAGCAACAAAACTTTTTAAAATAATCATTTCAATTTTAAACCGTAAAGTCGTGTCTCAAGCGCTGGCTGAGATTATGTCATTCTTTCAAAATCCAATTAGCAATATTTCCATAAATGGCGACGTAGCAAAGTTACACCACTGATCAAGCAGCAGCCGAATTTGCCAATGTCATAGGAGAAGTAACCAGAGAAAGTCTAGAAGCTGATTTAGCAAAAGCACGTTATTACTCCATTTTGAGTGACAGCAGCACTGACGTTAGCACAACTGAACAGGAATTAGTGTGTGTTTTATTCCTTCAAGATGGGACACCTGTCGGCAAATTTGCAGGTGTTGAATTGGCTACAACAGCTGATGCTGAAGGATTATTATGCGCAATTCAGAGTGCTTTCAGTCGACTTGGTATTCTCGCTTTCCTGACCTGAACGCCTTGTTGGTCTTGACATGGATGGAGCAAGTATTAATATGGGCATACACGCTGGCCTTGGTGCAAAAGTTCTTGAAACTGCACCTTGGCTTGTTTTGGTTCACTGCTTTAATCATCTTATTGAACTTGCGTTGAAAGATGTTTTTGATGGTCAGCATTTTCAAAAATTGATCAAATGCTCCGACTACTTCATGCGCTTTACAATGCCAGTCCAAAACGCTATAGTGAACTAAAGCAATTAGCAGAAGCTTGGCAAACATCTATTCCAAAACCAACAAAGGCAACTGGCACTCGCTGGATAGAGCACAAAGTCAACGCAATGAAAATAGCTTTAGAAAACTATGGGGCGTTTTTTAGTCATGTTGAATCACTTTCTCAAACCGACTCGAATCCAACCAAGCGAGTGGAATTGAAAGGGTATCTGAACAAATGGAAAGATGCTACATATCCAATTTACCTGGCAATTTATTTGGATATCCTTTCTCCCATACGTCACTTAAGTTTGGGTCTTCAGCAAGAATTGCACGATCCAGTTAAAGCAGTTCGTAGAATTAAGGTGTTTTTTTTTAAATAAAATTACGTGCCTTAATAGAGAATTCCCTCAATGATCCCAGTAGCAAGCTCACTCATTACAAACGACTTATCGCTGAACTTGAAACTAACGAAAACCAAGAAACAGCTTATCAAGGAATTCTACTAGCTAGATTCAATTTTGTAAATGATGATGTTGCAAACCAGTATTCTGAAAGAATAACTCGAGCATGGAGAAGCGGTTTCAAGATTTGAATGCATCCTCAGTTTTTGTTGATATCACATCAATTTTGGACGTTTCAGTCTGACCCAAATAATTGAATGCCGACATTTCATTTGGTGATAATGCTGTGCGTAAGTTGCTTGATTTTTTTAAGATTTTTTTCGACAAAAATGGTTGTAAAGTTGACGAAGTGTTGTTAGAGTGGGACATTCTGAAAACAATTGTTCAACCGTTCTTAAACAGTACGGAAGTTAAGTATTTGGAAGTCTGGAAACGCATTTTGATGAGTGAGTCAACCAAAAATTATTGTAAAAACATTCTTCACCTGATCGAAATTCTTCTCATCATTCCATTTACAAATGCAAAAGTTGAGAGATGTTTTCACACCAGAATCGCGTCAAGTCAGACTGGAGAAATTGTCTGAAGCGAAGTACACTTGACAACTTACTACAAATCGGTGAGGATGGCCCATCCCTTAGCGACTTCAACCCAGATATTGCTATCGACAAGTGGTTTACCGACAAAGTAGAGGACTGAAGACTTGAAAACACAACTATCCTGCTAAGAGAAAGAAAGTAGCAGATGGAAATGCTGTAACAAGTTCACAAACTGTAGATATTGCAGAGTATGTCTAGTCTGACTTGGGATTACCATCGCCATCCAGTGATAAAGAGGACTCTTAAATACGAAACTACAATATAATAGTCTTACTTACTGTATTGCAAATATTCAGAGAATTATAAACAATCATTATACAGCTTTTATACAGTTATTAAATAGTTTAAAAATTTATTTAAAAATTTGCTATTCACTTTTTATTGTATAAGGAAACAGGCGGAAAATTGCTATCCACTTTTAAAAATTTAATTTGAACCTTGATTGTAAGGCATCGTAGTGTGACGTAAGATAACAAACATAACATAATATAATATAATCCCCGAGCTGGTGCGAAGCACCGGGCGAGGGTACTATTTCCGCCTGGAGATTAGGAATTACGCCAGGGAACGCAAATGCAAAATGAAAGTTGTCTGCCATTATGTCATGTACGGTTGCACTTTTTTGTAAGTTATGTGCATGTGTGAGTTTAAGACGAGTTTGAACTGGTAACTAACTAGCTTATGATTGGCTAAGGCCTAAATTTTTTTAACAAAATTATGTGAGTAAATTAACTGTCATTATAATTTGAATTTAATTTCTTTCACAAAAGCAAATTACAAAAACCTTTACAGTATTGTGAACAATTACTTTACATTTGACAAAACAGAAGGCAAAAAAGAAGGGAGAAAGGTATGAGGATAGGCGTGTAAGACAGAGGGAAAAGGACGAGCTGTGTTAGTTGGTGAAAAACCGGAAGAAAAACAGTACCGCCTGGCAAAGAAGAGAGATGCCTATAAAAGAAGAGCTGAAACAAGTACAGGAAAGAAAGGTGATGAGCTAAGAGCTGAAAAACAACAAAAGCTGCAAGAAACGCCAACACAAAAAGAACGTCGTCTGAGGATGCGAAGAGCTGCTTACAGACAAAGAACTGACGAAAGTACTGAGGAGAAACGGGAGATGCAAAGAGAACATAATAGAGCTAATGCCAGAGAAAGAAGGCAACTTGAAAGTGAGGGAAAAAGACAAATAAGAATTAAAAGAATGAGTCAACGAGCAGTAAGTCTTTTGGAGACAGGTAATAGTAATGAAATGCAACAGGTACTGCCACAAAATTCTGAAATAAGGCATGAAAATGCAATAACAGTAGCTAGAGATGAGGTACTCACCAGTAGTTCAGACCAATATTTACATGAAGGTGGCTGGCAAAATGTTGACAACCCCTTGCATAAGCAGGAATTTGTTCTGAATGAAATGCACAGTTTTCATTTAGATCAAGAGCATTTAGAGCATCGCCATTGTACAATTTGTAAAGAAGCTTAGCCAACAAGGCATAACTTGACAACAAATCCCTTTGTTTGTTACCAGTGTCAAAGAGACAAGACGTCCCCAAAAAAATTTCAGTGCTGGCAATGACATCCTTTGTATGTGCTGTAGAACACTTAGTTTTTGCCTACTAATGCTACAATGTTGCCTACTAATGCTACAAAATACAGCTTTCACATACATTCACAAAAAAACAAAATTCCGTATATTTTCTTTAGAATTTGATATATCCTATTGCTAAGCAATTGAGACAGTAAACAGAAAAGTATTTACAATTATGGAAAAAAATATTTAAATCAGGTATTATAACCATGTTACTTTTATCCCTTCTAAAGTTACGTAGACTGACTTGTGACTACAGTTAATGATGATCTGCCTGATGAGAACTGTACAGTACCACATCCACATCCTTCTGCTGTGAAAGCCACATCAGTTGATAATCATGACATTGATTATCACAGGTTAGTAAATTCAGTAGAGAGGCACACCAGATGCAGTCCAGCCTATTGCATGAAAAAGAAGAGGTTTGACCAGCCTGCAGAGTGCAAATTTGGGCTCCCATAACCATTACAAGAGGAAACTGCACTGATTTATGAGGTTTGAGCTAAGAAAAATAAATCTGTACACTCAGAGTTGCAAACCAAGAGAAATGATGAGAGGCTGAATTCACACAACAGGGTCATGCTTGAGAATTGGAGGGCCAATGTGGATTTACAGGTAATTGTGGATGAAAAGGCATGTGCAAGATATATGACCAAGTATGCAGCAAAAGGAGAACCACATTTAAAATCTGCTTCTGATATACTGAAGTTGTCTGTGTCTTCATTGCAGAATGATGACCAAGTGTTCTTCTGCAATCAAAAAAGCAATGATCTAAGTTGCTGATGATAGAGACATGGCTGCTCAAGAGACTGCCCATATGTTACTCAAGTTGCCTTTGGTAGGCTGTGCTTATAGTTTTGCTATTGTTTCTTTAGAAAACAGTAGAAAAATTATCCTTGATTTGTCTGCTCTCCACATTATGGAGAGCAGACAAAAGTGGAGAGTAGGTACAAGGGGTTATCTCAGTTGAATTTGATGCAGTATGCATGCAGTATGCATGCAGTATGCATCTCAGTTCACAAAAGTCAGAGGTGAGTTGACAAAATGAGTGAATCCTTACATTGTCTTGTCAGGACATTTCCAAAGGTTATGGCCAATCCTGGCAACACTACCTTCGGAAAATACTGTATCAACTCATTAAGTTTAAAGTATCAACTCATTAAGTTTAAACCATGGGAAGGTAAGTCATCAAATGCATGGGACGATATGGAGGAAACTGATAATATGTTTATTAACACATATGCTTAATTTCTTCAGACAGATTTTGCTAGAAACAATGTATTTGGGCATTCTATTGAAACAGAGATGGTCCGTGCTGCACAGACAGATGATGACCAACATTATGAGGATGCTGGAAATCAGATGGCAAATAACGAGGCAGTGTACTGGTTCGAAGCAGCAAGAGGTGTGCCTGGGGATTTGTTAAGAGAATCTCCTGGGTAGATTTCTAAATAGAGAAAGGATGCAGAGGAGCTAGGTATGCAGTATCAAACAGGTGACCAACAAGTGGTGGTTGACCCAGGGACCTTGAATGAAAAAAAACAGCAACTGGCATGTGACATTATCACTACATCTATGGCTAATGATGAATGTGAACCGCTACATATGATTGTAAGTGGTACTGCTGGCACAGGTAAGACATATTTAATTAGTGCCCTAAAGCAAGTATTGCAAGACCAATGTATTGTCACAGCAACCACTGGAATTGCTGCATTCAGTATTGGTGGTCAAACTTTGCATTCTGCAGCTCAACTTCAGATTCAGGAATACAGAGAATTACAGGGCAATTCCTTACAGAGATTGCATCTCAGATTGGGAGGTAAGAGGTTTCTCATTATTGATGAAATGTCAATGATTGGATATAAGATGTTTTCATGGCTTGACAACAGACTATGTGCAGGTACAGGAAAAGAGGATGTCCCATTTGGTGGCATGTTGATTATCCTAATGGGGGATTTCGGCCAATTACCCCCTGTAGGCGATAAGCCAAAGTACATTGCAGGTAATGGATCCGTAATCAGTGACCATGGTCACAGTATGTATTTGACATTTGATTATGTAGTAATTTTCAAGCAGGTCATGCAACAGATTGGTGAAGACCCGGAAGTAGTTGCATTCAGGGCACTATTGATGAGAATGAAAGATGGACAAATTACCGAGATGGACTGGAGACTATTGATACAGCACTCCAGACCTAACATTGCAATGGATCAATTTAGTGATGCTATTTGGCTGTAATTTGATAAAAAAGTGTCGCTGAATATAATTATGAGAAGTTGCAGAGATTGGACAACCATTGGTCAAAATTCAAGCAAGGAATTCTGGTCGGCGTGCAAGTGCGGCAACATCTGATGAAGCAGGTGGTTTGAAAGCTGTCCTCTTTTTGTCAACAAAAGCAGTAGTGATGATGATATGTAACCTTTGGGCAGAAGTCGGTCTTTGCAATGGCTCTTTTGGAACTGTTGAGCAATTTTGGTTTGCGGAGAATGTGGGTCCACCAAATCTACCGATTGCAGTACTGGTTCATTTTCCGTTTTTTTCTGGGTTTTTCTCTTTATTTTTTGTCCCTGACTTTCTACAAGAATGCTCAAAGTGTACACCTGTGCCTCCAACACTGTTTGAGTGGATGGCTGATAGAAAATATTTGTCAAGACAACAATTGCCCTTGCGGCTAAGGTATGCAATGATGATACACAAGTCCCAAGGACAGACACTAACCAAGGCTGTTGTTGATTTAGGTAAAGGGGAGAGAGTTGCTGGCTGCACATTTGTGGTAGAGCCTGGGTAAGGTCAATTCATGATATTGTGTTTGAACCTATGACATTTGATCGTTTGAAGGCTATTGGTAGGAATAGAAATATGAAGAAGCGACAAGAAGCAGAATGACAACTTCATGTGCTTGCAGAAAAGACTGAGCAGAGGCATAAGGATTGAAAATCTTGTGGATGGATTGTACTGTAAGTTTGTGTTGCTATATATTGTTCAATGATACTGGGCACCAATGTGCTTTCGAGGAGAGACTTGCCTGTTACTAGACATAATATTGGAAATGAATTTGCTAAAAAATTGTTACAGACATTTCCTCTATTATTGTGTTTTTGAGGAGGGCAATTTATCATGTAAACATGTGTCATTTGTATTTATATTTGTATTTAATAAAATTACTTTGCAGCCTAAAGACTGAATTACGTAATTTTTACAGTTAAAACTATTCCATCATTAAAATTAAGGCTATAATTATTACTAAGAACCATTAAAATTATTAATATATAAGATAATAAAATAATTTCATTTTAAAATTAAAATCGAACAGATAGGTTAACTTTTGTTGACCTTATTACTCATAGCATATATAAAAGAGTTTGATACCCTATTTGTGTGGCTCATTGGAATATCGAAGGTTCTTTCATGTCTTAGATTATAATTAGATTTGTTCCTTTCTGGCAACAAATTGTGAATTTTATTGTTTGGATCCAACACAGCGGAATTAAATAGCTTGTTACACAAATGTTCATGATGAACTTTCAAAGCTGGAATACCAAGTAAATTTAATGTGCCAGAATAATTTTCTTTAGGTATAATAATGGCCATAGCTCTTTTCTCCAACCGTTCCAAATCGTTTTTCAAGTATTGAGGTAACGCATTGTAAAAAACCGGGATGGCATAGTCCATGACTGATCTAATGCATGATGTATAGAAGGCGGCCAGTTCTTTACACAGAATGCTTGCGCGTTTAAGTTGCTTGAGAAAATAGAGTCTTTTATTAAGCTTTTTGACGACTTCGTTTATGTGAGGTTTCCATGTTAAAGTATTAGAGACCTTTAGTTTGACGGCAAACGCCAAACCGCTAACAAAGTTTGTGTTTTAACTTCACTCTCCTTAAGTGTGCGGCAATTTCGATAAATTACAAACGTTCTACATAAAACTTGTGATGTTCAGCAGTAATGTAGGAAAGCAATAGGCTATTTCTGATGTATTTAGAAAAGCACCAAATTCAGCTTTGCCGTATATGTTTCACGTTCGCCGTATAAAATTTACGGCTGAGGGTGTATGCAGTCGTTCAAGCATTAAATTTTATACGGCGAACGTGAGACACATACGGCAAAGCTGGATTTGCTGCTTTTCTAAATACATCAGAAATAGCCTATTGCTTTCTTACATTACTGCTGAACATCACAAGATTTATGTAGAACGTTTGTAATTTAGCGAAATTGCCGCACACTTAAAGATAGTGGAGTTAAAACACAAACATTGCTAGCGGTTTGGCGTTTGCCGTAAACGTCAAACTAAAGGTCTCTATTATTAATGGTAAGACCCAAGAGTTTAATTTTGTTAACAACTTCTAACTCTTTTCCATTGATTACAATTGAATCGAAAGGTCTCGGCATAGCATTAAACGAGATTCATAGTTCCTTACATTTTTCCGGATTAAGTTGCATTCTATTTGCATTGGACCACGTAACCACATTATCTGTAATATTTTGGGCGTTACTGATGGAATCCTTTGTAACAATTTCTGATACTGTCGAATCATCAATGTATTTCCAAAGATCTGCTTGAGTTGCTGTTAGGTCATTTATGAGTAAAATGAATAACCAAGGGCCTAATTTAGTTCCTTGGGGCACGCCAGATGGAACTGGGCCCCATTCTGAATAACAGTTATCTGCTAACTTTACTCGCTGATATCTGTTTGTCAGAAAAGTCTGATATCCAATTGATGACGCTATATGGTAATTCTAACTCTGATAGTTTTTGGATCAAAATTAAATGATCAATAAGATCAAATGCTTTCCGGTAATCAAAGAGGATTGTTCTTACAACAGCGCCATTACCGTCAGTCGTGGTGGACCAACGATAGATCATGCTGATTAATGCAATAGCAGTGGAACTTCTAGGAACCATACTGATTTGGGTTGATGACTTTCAAGATTGCTGGTTTCACATAATCAACAACAATAAATTTCTCAGCGACTTTAGAGATACTGGCAGTAAGTGAGATAGGTCTTATATCTTTCTTTGGATCTTTTACAATTTTTGCCTTTGGCAAAGGTGTAATATTGGCCATTTTCCAAGTGGTAGGTACACATTGCTCTCGGTATGAGGTGTTGAGGATAATTGAGATTGGAAGGTTAATACCCAATTTGGTAACTTATCAGGTCTACATGCTTTATTTGTTGGGAGTTTCGATAAAGCTTTTTGCACTCTTATTTCTGATACTTTAGAAAGGTTGCCTGCCATTTCCTCCAACGAAAATTTTGGTAACAGACATTCTAGTCTGTATTCCTTGAGCGGTTCTAGAAATGTTTTGTTAATTTCATTTGCTTGATCTCTTGGTGTAAGGTTAGAAAACGTTTCAACATTTGCTAAACTTATCGGTTTCCGTTTGGTTGCAAGATTGGAGATACGTTTAATTTCAGACCACCATTTCTTTGGGTTTTTTATCTTTCAATCTATGCATATTTAGTTGATAATACTTCGCTCTACATAACTTTCGCTCCCTGTTAACTAAATTCCTGTACTTTTTAAATATTGCCAATTTAATTCCATGAGTAGCAAAGGCCTGTTGTCTTTTCGTAATGAGCAATTTCAATTTATTGTTCATCCATGGTGCATCTGTGGTGGAGACTTGGATTTCTTCACTTGGCATCGAAAATTCAAGGCCGGTAAAAACCAGGTTGTAAAATGTACTCCACATTTCTTCACAGTTGATCTGATTGGAAATGATTGATTGCCAATTTATAGAACTTAAATATCTACCTAATATCTACCTAAGCTCTGCCTGCCTGTTACTAGACATAATCTCACGTCCATGCCTGTTACTAGACATAATCTCATGTATTATGTTTTTGAGGGTGGCTGTTGACATGTACAGATATTTACATTATTAAAGTTTGTTTGTTTTGCTAAAAAACATTAGAACATCAATCAGGTAAGATACAATATAAACAATCAACCTTTTCACTGTTCAAAACTCTTTATAATTCGTGTGTGTAGGCGTGTTACACAATTTACGTGGTGACTGAAAAAGAGTAAACACAAAATCCACGTATAGCATAAATTTCAAAAAGCGCGCAAAAATATTGTCCTGTTCTGTGTCACTGTTTGGAATGCGGTAAGTCATATTCATAATAAAAAACTTTACAAAATATTGAACATTTGAAAGTTTGCCCAATAAATTATACTAGACTTCTCGCTTGTTGACATTTTAATTTACAAATTTGAGGAGAAACATTTTTGGAAGAAACTGCAATAACTTCTTTAAAGCATTTATAAATTTACCGATTTTTGCAACACTGATGGCTGATGCGCTTTACCTTGTTGACAAAGTGACAAAGAAATATAAGGAAAACATCCCAGAAGCCTTGAATACGAGTTTTCCAGGTCGACTGTCCAAAACTGAAGCAATCAAATGCCAGTTGGATAGAAAGCAACTTCCTTCAACTCCATTGTTTCTTTCATGTAGGTTGTTCATGCAAACATGTACAACAAGGATGGATCTAAAAATTCCAAAATCAATTGTTAACCTTATATTTGCAGATCAAGAACAAGATGCGATGCAAGCCAGAGCTTTAGCTCTAGAAAAAGAAGCTGCTTCAACACTTCCCACTAAACCAAGGAATATTCCTTGCTGCAGAAAATGTGGACAGCCTACGAGAAATCATTGAAAAAGTCAATGTTCACAAGGATCAACTGACAACCAGTCAAGATAAATAATATAATTATGCGTTGAATGTTTTTTACTTTCATTAGTTTCTTTGCTGTGCAGACTTGTAGCCAGCAAATTCATTGGGATTACCTAATGGAAATCTTTTTCTAATGTCTGTGTAGATGCATGCAGGTAAAGGTCCAGAATTTTCCCAACCAAGGCATTCAACAGCCATCGAATAATCCACCGGTATGCAACTGCTCTTAAGTATCTATAAAAAATATCCACTAATCAAAAAGTATCTATTTTGACCGAGTCAATTTGACTTACTCATTTTCATGGATCCCACAGCGCTTGTATGACCTTCCATCTTTGTCTCTCAAAAGTGGGCCAACATTTTTCAAGACTGTTGGATGGGTCATCACCATATATTCCTCATGAAGGGTGACACAGCTTTTTTTTTACCATCGAACCATCGAACACCAGTTGATGCAAAGCTGGCCCTACCTCTCTACAACATTGGTATTCGATAGCATCTGATAGCATTTCTGTTCAACACAAGCTACATGAGCACCTATAAAACAAGAAGTAC